AAATTACTAGAGAACATTGGGGAAACTCTGCAAGATATTGGCATAGGCAAAGACTTCTTGGAAAAGACCCCAGAAGCACAGACAATCAAAGCTAAAATTGACAAACTGGATTACATCACACTGAGAGGCTTTTGCACTGCAAAAGAAACACTCATCATGCCAGTGCCGCAGCTCACTAGGCTAATCCTCTGCCTGCAGCGCCGGTACACCGGGTTCCAGTCCCAGTCGCGGCATCAAATTCTGTCCCGGTTGCTCCTCTTCCAGTCCAGCTCTCCGCTGTGGCCTGGGAGGGCAGTGGAGGATGGCCCAGGTGCTTGGGCCCTGCACCCGCATGGGAGACCAGGAGGAAGCATCTGGCTCCTGGCTTCAGATTGGTGCAGCGTGCCGGCCGTGGTGGCCATTTGCAGGGTGAACCAATGGAGGGAAGACCTTTCTCTCTGTCTCTCTCTCTCTCACTGTCTAACTCTGCCTGCCAAAAAAATAAATAAATAAAAATAAAAAGAAACACTCATCACAGTGAAAAGATAACCGACAGAGTAAGACAAAATATTTGCAAACTATGCAACTGATAAAGGCTTAGCATTCAGAATCTATAAAGAGCTCAACAACAGAACAAACAATCCAGTTAAGAAATAGAAAAAAGACTTGAACAGGCATTTTTCAAAAGGTGAAATTAAAATGGCCAACAGACAACTGATAAAATGCTCAGATCACTAGCTATCAGGGAAATGCAAATCAAAACCATGGTGCAATTTCACCTCGCTCCATTTGGAATGGTTCTCATACAGAAGTCAACAACTGGTGAAGATGTGGGGAAAAAGGTTCCCTGGTCCACTATTGGTGGAAATATATACTGAGGTAGACACTGTGGAAGACAGTATGGAGATACCTCAGAAATATGAATATAGACCTATCATATTATCCAGCAATCCCACTCCTGGGAATTTACCCAAGTCAAAGGAAATCAGCATATGAAAGAGTTGTCTGTACCCCCATGTTCATTGTAGCACATTTCACAATAGCTAAGATATGGAATTAACCCAGATGTCCATTAACTGTTGACTGGATAAAGAAATTATTGTGTATATATACACGCTATGGAGTACTACTCAGCTGGCAGCTCCAAGACAGTCTCAGCTGCTACAGTAGCTTCACTTTCATAAATGTAAGGCCTAGAAGCTACTTCACGTACATTATCTTCCACTCTGTTCCTTATGGATTATTAACTTTAATTTAATTTAATAAGCTTAATTTATTTAATATAGATTAAAATAATCTTTTTGAATTACAGATTCATGACACAAGCACAAGATAATATATTGGCCAAATGTTCAATATGTTACAACTTCTGTATGCATTTCTGTTATGCACTTTCACAAGTCACTCCATGAATTTAATCATGTGTTTTATCAGGAAGGCAGGACTGTAACCCACTTTGTCTTTTTCTCCAATCAGTTGGTTATATAATATAACTTCAGCAGAATGCATTCCATAATATTATTTAAATTCATAGGAGAAGTACCTCACAAATGGGACCGGCATTGTGGTACAGGGGGTTAAGCCCCAGCCAGTGACATTGGAATCCTATATCAGAGTGCTGGTTGGAGTCTTCACTGTTCTGCTTCTGATATAGCTCCCTGCTAATGTGCCTGGGAAGGCACAAGAAGATGACCCAAGTCCATGGGCTCCTGCCACCCACATGGGAGAATGGGATGAAGTTTCTGACTCCCGGCTTCTGCCTGGCCAAGACGTGGCTGTTGCAGCCATTTAGGGAGTGAACCACCATACAGAAATCTTTCTCCCTCTTTCTGTCCCACTGTCATTCAAATAAATAAATCTTATAAAGCCTGGATTGGAAACAACAGGATGAACTTCAAAACAAATCTCAAGGAAACATTTTAAATATGACTGAAAAATCTGCCCTTAACTAACATGTCTTATTTTGCTACTGTTAACAGTCACAATTATTTGAATAATAGAAAATACAGACATGTACACCCCACGCCACCCCTCCCAAAGCAGAGATTCAAGAAACCAGGAGTTTATAATCAGATTTCAGGATTCTGTTAATAGAGTAATGATCCTGGTTTCAGGAATTCCAAGAGGAAATAATACAAAGAGATAAGTGAATGGGCAGCTGTCGAGTAAACCAAAGGGCATATGTACTACAGGCTGGTTTCTGTACTTAGAAATGCAACTGCAAACAGCGAATGAAAATCACAGGACTATTTCCTAAAATCCTTGTGTGTCTTGATTCACTGATGCCAAGGATTCACTCACAAAATACCAGCTGGTCAGTTTTCAGTACCCTCTGTATTTCAGCAGTTGAGGTAGATCCAAAGGTTGACTCTTGATATTTTACTTCTAAGTGTGGAACAATGGTGTCTTCTGAACTAAAAGTCCTGACATTTAGAAATTTAAGATACTAAGTATAAAATTAAAAATTTGTATTATAGGCATTGGTCTTGTGGCCTAGTGAGTTAAGACCCAGTTAGGGACATGCATATCTCATACAGGACTGCCAACTTCAAGTCATTCCTATTCTACCCTTCCAATCCAGCTCCTTTCTAAAGCACCTGGGAGGCAGCAGATGATGGTTCAACTACTTGGGACCCTGCTACTCACATGGGAGACCCAGAAGGAATTTTGAGATCCTGGTTTTGGCCTGGCTTTGTTCTGATTGTTGTAGGCATTTGGAGAGTGAACCAGTAGATTGGAAGATCTTTCCCTCTCTGTCTCTCTTTCTCTCTTTATTCTCTGTCACTGCCTTTCAAATAAATAAAAAAAATCCTTACATTGTAAACTGTACTTCAAATCTGAGAAATTTTTTTAATAATAGAAATAAATAAAAGTCAGTCCACAATAGTTTAATGTAATACTGCAAAGCAATTCCACCAGATCTTATGAATATCAGTTTTAGACAAAAAAAAGAGAGAAAGAGAGAGAAGGCTGACTGCTGGGTGCAGTGTTCAATGGAATAAATCTTTAAAAGCAACCAAGGGTAGTGAAAGAGAATTCATAAGAAACCAAAAAAAAAAAAAAAAAACTCTTTAAAATAGCAGTGAATTGCTTTAAAATAAAGTTTTTAAGTAGTCTACTGACTACTACCTGAATGCCTTTAGCACTACATTTATTCAGTGTCTGCTAGTAGGAGAGTACCCAGATCCCTCCAAAATGTCTTCATGAAAGCAACAGGATTTTGCTATCACCAACATTGCTCTTTGTATAGGAAGTAACACCCCATTAACTTGGAATCTGTGGTATAACAGGTAGCCTTAGTTAATGTTTACCTTTTCAGCATCTAATAAAGAAAAAACGTTAAGCAAACAGTGCAACAAAATTTTATCCTTTAAAGCAAACAAAAAAAAACATCATAAGGTTACCACACTGTCTTGAAGATATTTTTAATTCTCTCTTAAATATACATATGTACATATTTTATGCACATTCATATACATCTTTTATTACTATTAAGTATATATATACATGGACACACATGCAATTATATAGAGAGAACTGTACAGTAAACAGTGATTACAGCCATGGATATTTGAATCTTTCTAAATTGAACTGAAGCAACTTAAAGCTGATAACAACTAAAAAAGCTTACTTGTACATAAATTAACATTTAAAAGTCTTTGAATTTTCTAAACAAATTAAATCAATACAGAAATCATTGAGAGAAAACCATAAAACTTTACATGGAAAAGCAAGGTATCTGGCCCAGAAAGTTATCTAAAATATTTAGCAAGGCTGTCATTGTAGTCTCTCTCTCTCTCTCTCTCTCTCTCTCACACACACACACACACACATTTTGCTAACTCAGCAAAAGTCAACAGAATAAAGATCGTTTCAGGAAAACAGGATTTGGTTTTTGATGTATTTTTCCCAATATGTAGTGTTATTCTCTTCAGAATCTTAAAATTTCAGTAAGATAAATCTTTCATTACATGCTTGATAAATATCCATATTATTTTAAATTTTCTTGAGAGAAATAAACAGAAAGCAATGAATGATATCTATTTATCAGTACGTACATGAATATTATGATACAAGGTATGTATCAAGTGTTTAAAATTTATTTATTTACTTGAGAAGCAGAGAGAGAGAGAGAGATCTTCCACCCACTGGTTTATTCCCCTAAATGCCTTCAATAGTCAGAGCTAGACTTGGTCAAAGCTAGGACCCTGGAACTCCATTTAGGTCTCCCATGAGGGTGTCACAGACCCACAGGCTTGGACCATTATTAGTTGCTTTCTAAGGCCATTATCAGGAAACCAAATGCGAAGCAGAATAGCTGGAACTGGCACTCCAGTAAGGGATGCAAGCATCTCAATAAGTGGTTTGACACACAGTAGCCACCAAAATGAATTGGCATATTAAGTCTATTATATTTTAACTAGTATAAATTGAATTATTTTCATGTACATGAAATGCACAGAGGCAAGGAAAGGTTGTTTTGGATAAAGCATCATATAAATTATTCAAAATGTTTCCCAAGGGGTCTAAATTTCTTAGCTTTCCCTGAAGTTTTTTTTATATTTTAATGAAAGATTATTGGTAGTAGAAGATATATTTATGTACATCTCAATTGTTAAAATTCTGAGCTAGACATTGGATTCTGGCTATGACCAACACAAAGCAAATCACGCATTTTCAGAAATTGAGTGAAACATTAAAACAAACAACAACTTATGAAATCCTTACTTAATGTATACTAAGCTGATCTTCTGTATATTAAGATAATCGAAAATGAATCTTGATGTGAATGGAAGGGGAGAGGGAGTGGGAAAGGGGAGGGTTGTGGGTGGGAGGGACGGTATGGGGGGGGAAGCCATTGTAATCCATAAGTCGTACTTTGGAAATTTATATTCATTAAATAAAAGATAAAAAAAAAATAAAATAAAGAATTCAAAAAAAAACAAAACAAACAAACAACAACTTAACAATAGATTTAATAGTATATGTTAGAAAGTAAGCACTTAAAATAAATTACTTACTTGGTTTGTCCATGTTAAAAATAGTTCTGAAAAAGAAAACTTCATATTAATATGTTGTTTATAGCTAAAGGTCAAATACAACTGTTGAAACCAGATATTCTAAAACTATTCAATCACACTCATGGATTGTTCCTCTTTATTCCCCTTGTACAGCATCATCTGGTCATTAAAACCCTTTTGATTTGATGTCTTCCCCTGCTGTACTTAAGAAGTGATTGGTCAGCCCACAATGATGGACATAGCCAAAAGCCATTGGAGAAAGGGTCAAATGAGGCAGAAAGCCATGAAAGAGCACTGTGAGCCTAAGATCCCAAATGGTAACCAAATAAAAATTGCAGCTTTCACAACATACACAACCTGCAAGAGCTGTTCAAGCTCCCAGCTTCCAGGCTGGGCTTCTGGAACGGTCCAGCAGGAGAACCTAGAAGTCTATCAGTCACACTCTTGCAATTATCCTGGAGCTTCTTCAAGGTCTCCTACATTGGTGGTAGGGGTCCAAGCACCTGGGCCATCTTCTACTGGCTTCCCAGGCACATTAGCAGGAAACTGGCTCAGATGTGGAACAACTGGGACTCACACTGGGGCCCATAAGGGATGCCAGCACTATAGGTGGCGGCTTAACCCACTGAGCCACAGTGCTGGGCCCCTAAAGAACTATTTTTTCAGTCATTATCATGTTACATACTATATCAAACTCACTACTTAATACTTAAGACAAATTCTAAATAATATCTAAGTGAAAAATTCATGCAAGATTTTATAGTTTTTACAAATAAGCAACTTAATTGAAAAAAATTAATTCATAGTGTCTTATTGAAAATTTATGCATCAAAGATGGAAAGTATTTGTTTTGATTTTTTTTAATATTTGTTTTAAGAGTTTAGTTGCTAATTTGGAATGTTCAGCACAAGCCAAAAATAAAGGACATAGTAGAAAGAAAGGGAATTTATAAACTAACAAGTCGCATAATATTAGGAACAGCTGGAAACCTTTAAGTGTGGAATGCTGTAAGTTTCCAAACCATTGCCCAATGAGTACCAACTACAGTAAACACACAATATTTACCTTTCCCATTGTTAGAGTTCATCTCCTCCTTGCATAGAAATCCAAGGAATGGAAATGAAGCAGATCCTAAACGATGCCCATTTGCTTGTACTTGCATGTTTTTTTCCTACTTGGCCACACAATTTTGAGTTTTAGATATAAATTAGTGGAGAAAAATACCTACCTGCAAAACTATTGCAGAACAAAATCGGGGTCTTTGTTTTACTGTAGACTTTTAAATTTTATTACCTAATATCTCAAGAATTGAAATTACATAATATCTCAAGCATTGAAAATGGTGTGTCATAAGATCTGGCACAAAAAGGTAAGCGATCCTTGAACCTGCATCTATGATAACTAGGAAAAAGCACTGCATGCCAGGTGAATACAGTCATCTATCAAGTAGATGCCTTCCCTGACTATGCTCTCATTCACTGTTACAATTGATTGGTTTTCTAGAATAGGTCTAATCCAAGACATAAGTCACTCCACTGTGGAAATAACTGGGGGGATCTTTGTTGGATTAATTACTTAATTAACTTAACATGATAACATTTAAGCAATGGTTTCCACAAGTCTCATTAAAAATTTGAGAAATATTTCACGGGAAGAGAAAATCATAGTTTATATCAAAAGAAAAAAAGAGTTTGTAATAAAATCACTGAGTAATACCTTTGAAATCAAGACTATGCCAGAAAAACACAGAACTTCAAAATGTAATCTGATTACTTCATACTTTTCTTTAATTTTGTTAAATGAATGCCCTGGAGAATGTTAGGACATTACATACCATGAAAATATAAGTTCAACACTGTTAAAGTCATTCTATCAAAAATCATGAGTCCCCATTGCTAATCTGAGCTATGGAATAGCTGTAAACTGGACAACCAGAGCAAAGACAGATAAACAGTAGGAGGACATTTCCAGTTAAAGTTTCATGATTTACATTCTAATGCCTTTGTTCTGGTCCATCTCTTGGGGCACTGAAATTTGCATCTTATTGCTCTCAAAAAAATGTTGATATAAAATCTAGGACTCAATATTGAAGCATACTTAATTTTGAAGATACTAAAAATGCAATACTGGAGCCAGTGCTCTAGCGTAGCTGGTAAAGCAGCTGCCTGCAGTGCCGGTATCCCATATGACCACCAGTTCAAGTCCCGTCTGCTCCACTTCCTATCCAGCTCTCTGCTATGGCCTGGGAAGACGGCCCAAGTCCTTGGGCTGCTGCACCCGCGTGGGAGACCCGGGAGAAGCTGCTGGCTTCAGATCAGCGCAGCTCCAGTCTTTGCAGCCAACTGGGGAGTGAACCAGTGCATGGAAGACCTCTCTCTCCCTGCCTCTCCTTCTCTCTCTGTGTAACTCTAACTTTCAAATAAATAAATAAATCTTTTTAAAAGTGCAATGCCTATAAAATAGGCATGCACTGGATTTGTGACATTTATTTGAATTTACTTGTTTATTGCCTAAGAATAAATCTTACCTACCCCCTCCACACATTCACTAAAAACCAGTTCACACATTCTTCTCAAGTTCCAAGAAAAGGATACAGTTAATTCATTATTTTCAGCAAAACTCTATTATAAAAACAATCAAAAGAATTCTAGGTCCTTAATTTCCTACAAATAAATGATAAAGAGATACTAGGCTGAGGGTGGTAGTGGAGGGGAAAGAATTGAGAGTAGGACAAGAACACAGAACAGTTACAGAAGTGAGTCACAAATCAAATAATCTCCATGATATTCAAGTTGGGTTTGTAGGCAAGTTTTGTGCATTTAAAAAGGTTTTGCCAACATCTAAAAAAGAAAATAATTTACTGATTGAACTTTCTTTGTTTTTTAAAGATTTCTATTTATTTATTTGAAAGAGTTACAAAGAGAGGAGAGACATTCTTCATCCTCTGATTCACTCCCCAGGTGGCTGCAACAGCCAGGGTTGGACCAAGCTGAAGCCAGGAGCCAGGAGCTTCATCTGGGTCTCCTATGTTGGTGGCAGGGTCCCTAACACCTGGGCCATCCCCTACTGCCTTCCTCAGGCTGTTGGCAGGGAAGTGGATCAGTAGAGCAGCCAGGACCCAAACAAGCACTTATACAGGATGCCAGCATTGCAGGCAGAGGCTTAACCCACTATGCTACAATTCTGACTATGAACTTTCATGTTTGTAAAAGTTACCAGGGAGGACCAAATGCATTCACACAAATAAGTGGGGCAAAGTGGAATGTTTCAAACCTGGGGCATACATGAGGGAGGTCAGATGACAGAAGCCATCTATAAGAGCAAACACCTTGCAACAGGGTCTCTTCCTATAAAAATTCACTTCTGTGTTTCAAGCTCAAGAAAACAAAAACAAATATGCTTAGAACCAATCTTGATAGTGTTTCATAGAAAGCTTTGAATAAAAATGTAGATACTACATCAACTGAGACCAACAGGGATGGTAGCAGCCAAATTTTCCATAAGACTAACAAGTAAGTCAATGAGACAAAAGATACAAAAATTAATCTCTAAGTCAGCTGTTCTCATTTGATTATTAGTCCAGAAAGGCCTTTCCTGATAATATAGAATTCCATTATCAATTTAAGTGTCTTTTCTTTCTTTCTCATAAATGAGCAAACTAAGTCAATAAAGATAAAATCTCTTTGCTTCCAATAAAGCAACCTGTCTCTGTTGAGGTCGATCTCTCTCTCCTTTTTCCATCTCTCCTTTCTGGGGTTATGAAAGACCAGAACCCAGAACTATTCCAGACCTAATAGTGTGAATTCATTTACTCTTGTAAATTTGACAAATGAGAAACACAGAACTATCACTGTTGGAGGCTTGCTGAGGGTTGTATCCTGCTAATCCTGCCTGTGATAGGAGATTTCATCTCTGACAGACTTCTACATGTTAGCATTAACAGGGCATGATGCCCATTACTAGGACCGGGGCCCCCATACCTGTGCCTGCCAGCTTAGACAAACAGTCTGTGGCCAAGGACTGTCTGCTCAGGGACTTTTTAGGAGTATTTTGCTTTACTGTTTAATCACACACCTGTCAGCGATTCCTGGATTTAGGGTGCTTTTGCATAAAGCCCAATACATGCTTGAACTGTTTATCTCTATATGCTGAGAGATATGGAATCACCCTGTCACTGTAAAGTTCCTGATTTTAGGCATAAAAACAAGGGAGAGCCAAAAGTTGGGGCTTGACACTTGGGACAGAAGTCTTGTCAAGTCTGAAGGCATGATAAACTGTGTGCCTTTCCTTCTGAAAGTCTCCAGTGCCGCTTCGTTTCTTCCGTCTCTCATCGCTAACATTATTAATAGTAATTAAGTGTTTTGGTTTTTAAGTTTAGCTCTATTCATGTTCCTGCCACAGATTCTGTGTATATACTATACATATGCATTATAAACACTGCTTATTTAAATATTGACTTAGTGTAAAGTGTGTGCAGCTCTCAAAGGATGTTTTTTGAAAGAAGGTGTATGATAGTCAAGATCCAATACCAGGCACCAAAGCACTATACCTTGGCACTAGGGGAGACAGACAATGAAATCCATTATGAAAAACACATCAAGCTCCAGGAATAAAGCTGATGGTGCTTTAAGAAAGGATTATTAGGCCACTGACTTACAGGGAGGCAGGAAAGTCAGAATGAGACCTGAAGGACATCCACAGCCAAGTAATCCATGGAAGTGTGTGTGTGTGGGGGGGGGGGGGGGGGTGAACAGTGCATTAGGGACAGAGCAGGCCTCACAGGTAGAAGTCCTGAGGCTGAGGGAACCTGGATCATTCTAGAAAGGAAAGCTCTCTAAGGTTACAGTGCAGAAGAGGGGGATGCCCTCAGAGGTGAGGACACGTAAAATCTAAAATGTGGCCCCTTAAAGTTCCCTAGAAATGCTATCTGGGGTGCCATGTGTGCTACCGGAATTTGGGGTGCCTTACAATTTCACCACAGGCTGATTACTAAATCCCCGATATTAATAAGCCCAAGAGGGTTCTTGCCTATTATTTAGAGAAGAATCCTAAATACCAGCACAGATAAACGAGGCAGCATGGTACGTTTTAAGCTTTTATTTAGTGAGAAAGATGCTTAGGAGAGTGAGAGCTTTACTTAGAAGAGAGAAGTGAATGGGGGTTCATACCGAGCACCAGGAACCAGCCACCTGGATGAGCATCTAGGCCAGGAAGCCTAAAGCACATGGCCCGAAGGCCATGCGCCCTAGAGGCGCAGGGCTACAACAAGCCCTGTCCTGGCAAGAGGCCAGGGAAGAACCGGGTGGGCACACTGTGCCCTAGGCTTTTAACCCACTCCAAAGGGGAGTGGTTAATTAACCTGATTGGCTGGTGGGCACCCCGGTGTGGCCAGGTAGGGGAATGAGGCCACACAGGGGCGTGGCAAAGGCATCAGGTAGGAGCTTGAGGTCACACAGGGGCGTGGTCTTCCAGTTCACAAATCTGATCAGTTTTCACCTGTATGCCCGCCTACTTCACAGGGAGGTGCTGAGGGGGGTCCTCCCTCGGTTATTGTCTCCTCACCTCTGCTCTAAGCCCCTTACAGATCTGAAGGCTGCTTGGTCTGCAATCCAGCTACCTTATCTACTGTTTTTTTTTTTTTTTGACAGGCAGAGTGGACAGTGAGAGAGAGAGACAGAGAGAAAGGTCTTCCTTTGCCGTTGGTTCACCCTCCAATGACCGCCGCAGCCGGCGCGCTGCGGCCGGCGCACCGCGCTGATCCGATGGCAGGAGCCAGGAGCCAGGTGCTTTCCTGGTATCCCATGGGGTGCAGGGCCCAAGCACCTGGGCCATCCTCCACTGCACTCCCTGGCCACAGCAGAGAGCTGGCCTGGAAGAGGGGTAACCGGGACAGAATCCGGCGCCCTGACCGGGACTAGAACCCAGTGTGCCGGCGCCGCTAGGCGGAGGATTAGCCTAGTGAGCCGCGGCGCCGGCCCACTGTTTTTCTATCCAACTGCAGAAATCAAATCAGCTCTCTCTTCATTTTCTTTTCTTTTCTTTTTTTTCTTTTTTTTTTTTTTTTTGACAGGCAGAGTGGACAGTGAGAGAGAGAGAGAGAGAGTCAGAGAGAAAGGTCTTCCTTTCCCATTGGTTCACTGTGGCCGGCACACCGTGCTGATCCGAAGGCAAGAGCCAGGTGTTTCTCCTGGTCTCCCATGGGGTGCAGGGACCCAAGCACCTGGGCCATCCTCCACTGCCTTCCCGGGCCACAGCAGAGAGCTGGACTGAAAGAGGAGCAACCAGGACAGAATCTGGTGCCCCGACCAGGACTAGAACCCAGAGTGCCGGCGCTGCAGGCGGAGGATTAGCCTAGTGAGCTGTGGCGCCATTTGTTCATCCTCCAAAATTCTACAACTGATGTAAATGTCGGGGTGGCATTAGGTGAAAGTTATTGTGCTTGGAGATAGTGTGCTTGGAGAAGCAGAGACTTTGTTATATGTTTACATGAATAAAAGCCAACTTTCATACAGTGCTTTCTACAGTGCCAGTCCCTGCTAGACCAACAGGACATTAATACACGGCAATGGAACAAGGACATAAGCCTCAGGCATTCTCCCTCATTGCCCAAAGGAGATAAACTTTGGAATGCATTCCCTGCCCTTGAATCTCAATTGGATCTCACACCCTATTGTCTTCATACTCCACAACCCCCAGTCACCTGAAAGAACTGTGGCTCTGAAGACCTGAAAGACCAGTTCTAGGAATTCCCCTCCACCTGCTGCTCCTTACCGCACCCCCATCCCCATCCCTCCTAAAATATAAAAAGGCCCAGCCCCTGGGAGTGGGGGCCTTCTACCTCAAGTTTCATCAGTGTGCATGCAAGCAGTTGGTCACCCACCTCTATTGATTTATTTTCTCTGAATAAATTCGGTCTGGCTGTAAATTCGTACACTGCCTCCTCTCTATTCTGCGCCTCTTTTCCTAACATTTTGGTGCCCCGTGTGAGGAAGCACCAAGCTGCAACTCTTTTCCTAGCACATGTAATACTGTTTGTAATTCTTTTACTATAAGTTACACAATTTCAGAGAGGCAGCAAGGAAGGAAGACAAGGGAACTGATTCAGATTCCGCAGTTGGGAAGCGGTAGATGCATGGCCTGCAGTCATGCTATGGAGTTGACAGTCGCAGGCCCTGTGCTGTATCTCCCGTTTCTCTGGCACTCTCGGGTACCTAGCATAGATCTGGGTTCCAGTCTCACTTAGAAGTCACCCTCACAACTTAAATGGCAGCCAGCAGGCTCTCCTAAAAGCTCCACTATGTTGGCCTACAGCCCTGAGGGCAGCTTCTGGCCAGGATAGGGGTAGCTCTCTGAGCTGCGCAGCCTCTTGGAAAAGCAGAAAAATCGCTGTTTCCAGGTAGGACACATCTTGTTTTTGGGATGATTCTAGGGCGGGCCAGGGGCATTGCTGCACCGGAGGTGGCCCCTAGCTGAGTCTCTGCTCCCCTTCCAGGGTCGCTTCCTGACTCCTCCCTTCTACCTGCCCCAACCTCCACCTCTGAGCAAATACAACCTCACGCACTCCGTTCCTGTCCCCCACAAGCCGCCCCCTTCATGTAGGTCGGTCCACAAGCCAGGAGGGAGGCAACAAGGATGCCTCCCGCTCCAGTGTGGCAGCCGGGCTAACAACCATCCAGGTGCTAGAGAGGCCCGCGGCGGCCCAGCAGCCCATTCCCTACCTCTCCCGGTGTCTGCAGGGAACGAGCCTCCCGGTGAGCTTGGCGCAGAGGCCTCTCTGTTAGGCTTCCCCGATCCTATATATACCCTGGAACTTCGCAGCCTGGCTTCCGCGAGGACTCCGGGAAAGTCCCTGGGGCTATGCGGAGCTACCACCACGCCCACTCAGCCCCACCCACTCTGCAAGAGGCTCCCAAGGAGTTTATCCTACGCCTGAAGGCAGGGATAAGCTGAGACTTTAACACCCTCTGGCTCCAGAGAGTCATTAACCGGGGCAGAGCGCCTGGTGAGTTCCCCTCTGGGGAACTGATTCTACTTTGCCCTGATGTCTGTCACCCAGGTTCTTTCAAGGGGCAGGAATGGCCTGAAGCTTAGGGTGAAAAAAAGGGTGAGTCAAAGTTAATTTACTCTACCATATCCTTCCTCTCCTGCTGTCTTGCTCTTGTCAAATATTAATTTACAACGAAGAGTTCAGTGATAGGTTTCTGCAGTAAAAGATTCTGGTTTTGAAGATTTATTTATTTCAAAGGCAGAGTACACAGAAAGGGAGAGACAGAACTTTCATCCTCTGGTTTATGCCCCAAATAGCCACAACAACCAGGTCTGTGAATCTAGGAGAAAGGAACTCCAACCCCGGGTCTCCCAGGTGGGTAACAGGGGTCTAAGCACTGGAGCCATCATCCACTGCATTCCCAGGAGCACTAGCAGGAGGCTGGATCAGAAGTGGGGGAGACAGAACTCTACCCAGCACATGGGATGCTGACCCCAAAAGAAGAGGTGTGCCACAATACTGCCCTGCCATAAAAGATTCTGCAGCTGAGTTGTGAAAGATGAGTAGAGGATCTCCATGGGCAAAAGGCATCCATCTATGCAAAAGGAAGGAACAGTACATTTGAAGAATACAAATAGTTAAGTGTGAGTGCAGTGTGAGAACAAACAGCTATGGAGTTGACAGGAATTCCTCATTTTGCTGCAGAGATCATTAACTGTTGACCAAAGTTTGTATTCCCTCTTCCATGGAATAAAATCATTACGGAAAAGTGGCTGTCTAGCCTAGCACTGTATTTCCACACATTTAGGAATGGCCACAGCCAGCGCCGTGGCTTACTAGGCTAATCCTCCGCCTGCGGAGCCGGCACCCCGGGTTCTAGTCCCGGTCGGGGCGCCGGATTCTCTCCCGGTCCCTTCTCTTCCAGTCCAGCTCTCTGTTGTGGCCAGGGAGTGCAGTGGAGGATGGCCCAAGAGCTTGGGCCCTGCACCCGCACGGGAGACCAGGAGAAGCACCTGGCTCCTGCCTTCGGATCAGCACAGTGCGCTGGCCACAGCGCACTGGCTGCAGTGGCCACTGGGGGGTGAACCAATGGAAAAGGAAGACCTTCTCTCTCTCCCTCTCTCTCACTGTCCACTTTGCCTGTCCAAAAAAAAAAAAAAAAAAAAAGGAATGGTCACAGAACAGAATTCCAGCTAATAGCACTTAGAAGAAATATAGGTGTGACTTCCAATACAAGGTTCTTAAGAAGTTGGTGAACCTTCACTTCATTAGTGCCTTTCCATTGGCTTGATGCAGAAGGTGATGAAGTTGAGGGATGGAAGAGCTACAATGCACAAGGATTTCTCTACCCTAATGTACAACATGGGAAAAAAAATTTTTAAAAAACCTATCAGGAACCAGAAATCCCACCTTGATGGGCATGTTAGGGACAAATAGATCCATCTATTGGATAATATGTTGTAGTAGCTGGAAATACCCAAAGTGGTCAACTCTAGAAAGGTGATGAAAGAGCCATTTACATAAGGCATGTACAATGAAAAGAAATTATATTTTATTTTGGAGGATGGATTAAAATGTGATATGATTTTAAATAGAAGAAACACAATATTAGGCTCTTGTTTTAGAAAGGTTAGTTACAATATGAAGTGTGATTTGTAGGATAAGTGAAATAAACAGTTAAGAGATCATTTTAGTGACATTTAAGCCCAAACTAATGCCATCCTGGACTATCATAGTGAGATGGTATATAGTAAAATTAGAAAGGAGAGAATTCATCTCAAGCATTCAAAATTTGCAAAAAATGGTAGGCATTTGGCCCACTGGTTACAATTACTGTTGAAATGCCCACATCCCATATCAGAATTCCTGGCTGTAAGTTCTGGCTCTGCTCCTGATTTTAGCTTCTTGCCGATGTGCACCCTGGGAGGCATCTGGTGATGACTGAAGTAGTTATGCAAGACTCAGATTGGATTCCCAGATCCCAATTTCAGCCTGTCCCAGCCCCAGGCTGTGGGGAGCAACTGAGACTAGACTAAGTTACTGGAATTAAGACTTATTCTATGCATCTGCTCTCCCACAATATGGTGCTGGGGAGGAGTAAACAGCTTCTACGCAGCTGCCTTGCCAATTTGACTGATAAGCTGCAGGAGCTGATCCTGCTCCTGATTGGAGGAGAGCAGCGTGCTCGGCGTGTGGGTAGCAGAGCATGGATTGGCGGAAGAGGACTATAAAGGAGGAGAGAGACAACATGCACCAGGAACATCTGAGGGGAACATCTGAGGAACCCGAGAGCTGGCCGGCGGTGTGCCGCTCCTTCGCGGAAGTGGGGAAAGCGGTGGGGGGTGCCGGCAGCTAACCCCGGACGGCGTCGTTCCTCCGTGAGTGGGGGAACAGCAGCAAACCCGGGAAGGGCCGGGCATAAAGAACAGTGCAGGGTCCGGTGTCGTTCCTCCGCGAATGGGGGAGCGACACAGGCTTTGTGTACTTTTGGAGAGTCAATCAGCAGATGGGAGACACTGTGTGTCTGTATGTCTCTCTCTGCCTCTCAAAGCAAACAAATAAATAAATTTTAGCAAAAATTAAGAATAATTAGTACTGGGTGATGGATTTGATTTGCAGGACAGAAGAGTAAGATAATTATCTTATGAATGTTTCCATTTTGGGCAATGGATAGTGTACACATTTAGATGGGGATTGCAGAAGGAGGTTTGGGGTAGAGTATGGTTACATCACACTGGGAACAACTAATAGGTTGTTAAATGTTCCTGTTCTGTCTTAGTGGTGAGCCAATAATATCCCAGTAATGAAACTCATGTTAACAGAATTATGCTACTGAAATATTCCAGCATGAAGAGTGCGTCAAATATGGGATATTCATGGTTAAAGATCATGAACTGTACTGTTCTGTACTGTTTACCAGAAGGATATTGAAAGGGAGGACAAAGACAGATTGTAAAAACACACATGGTGGCCGGCGCCGCGGCTCAATAGGCTAATCCTCCGCCTTGCGGCACCAGCACACCGGGTTCTAGTCCCGGTCGGGGCGCCGGATTCTGTCCCAGTTGCCCCTCTTCCAGGCCAGCTCTCTGTTGTGGCCAGGGAGTGCAGTGGAGGATGGCCCAAGTGCTTGGGCCCTGCACCCTATGGGAGACCAGGAGAAGCACCTGGCTCCCAGCTTCGGATCAGCGTGGTGCACTGGCCGCAGCGCACCGGCCGCGGCAGCCATTGGAGGGTGAACCAACGGCAAAAGGAAGACCTTCCTCTCTGTCTCTCTCTTCCACGTTCCTCTCTGCCACTCAAAAAAAAAAAAAAAACAAAAAAAACAAAAAAAAAAAAAAACAAAAAAAAACAAAACAAAAAACAACCAACCAACAACCAACCAACCAAACAAAAACCACAATGGTGATTTTCCTGTGACTAAGACATTAGGAACTGTAATGAGGAAGTGAACAAAAGTGTTACCAGCAGAAAACAGGTAAAAGACAGAGAGGCTTGATGAGCAAGTCCTGATACTTGGGTCATAGTGTCATGTTCTTTTGTTGGCTTATAAAAACAATGAAGGAATGTTCCCACATGTCTTCTCATTATACAATTCATTTCCTCAGTTTTTAAGGGAAAGGAGGTAACTAATCAGGTCTTATGCCACAATTGCATGCTACAATCTGAAGTGGATGCCATTCGGTTACAAAGAAGCTCAGTTTTCACTGCACAGTTTCAGAACATACTAATGTAGTTCACACTTTCTTCTTTAGGTAGGAGAGAGAAAGGAAAGGCTTTTTTTTTCAGCCAGCAGTGAAGAAGTAGGCATGCTGTGACATCAGTTTGGCCTGGAAAGGGACATGGGGCTCCATCTTTCTATGAGGTTTACTATTTGTAGCTTTAGTTGGATCTGGCAACACTTGATGGGTTTTGCTCGTTCAGTTATTCACTGTGCAAAAGTCAAGCAATTATTACTCATTCAAAATATGAGCCAACAAATTAAAATAATATGGTCGTGTTTAGGACCTAAGGTGTCTACTTATATAGAGAACAGACAAATGACAACCTTGAGAAGCAGTCATTATCAGCTTTAAAAGAAAAGGCCAGGGGTTGGCAGTGTGGTCTAGGGAGTTAAGCTACCACTTGAGACACCAGAATGCCATATCAGAGTGTTGGTTCTGTTCTGTTTCCAATACAGCTCCCTACCAGTGTGCCTGGGGAAGTAGCAGAAGGTCCTCGAATACCTGTTTCCATGCTCCCCATATGAGACTTGGATGGAGTTCTTGGCTCCTGGATTTGACTTGGCCCAGCCCCAGCTATGGTTGCCTTTTGGGAAGTGAACCAAAAGATGGAATATATCTTTTTCTCTTTGTCTTTCCCTCCCTATCTGTCACTCTGCCTCTCAAACAACATAAATGAATAAATCTTTAAAGAAAATTAAAGGCCAGAAAATCTAGGCACAAAAATACTTTTGAATAGACTTTTCTTCCTTTCAGTCAAATATTTTAATAGCCTGGTACACATAATCAAAAGGCCTTCACCAATCATTTTTAAATGATTTATTTATTATTTATTTGAAAAGCAGAATTAGAGAGAGTGGGGGGGAGAGAGAGTGAGAGATATCTTTCATCTACTGATTCACTCCCCAAATGACTGCAACAGCTTGCAGTGGGTCAGGCTGAAACCAGGAGCCCTGCACTTATCCCTGGCCTCCCACGTAGGTATAGAGGCCTAGGCACTTGAGCCACCTTCTGCTGATTTCCCAGGTGCGGTAGCAGGGAGCTGAATAAGAAGCAGAACATCAGGATCTTGAATCAGCACCCATATGGGATGAAAGCATTGGAGGAGGAGGCTTAACCTTCTATGCC